AAGTTCAGCACAGATTTACCTGAGATTAAGGAAAAGGGGGAAAAAAAAATCTCTTAGAAGTGGGATCTGTTTTTACCTTGGGAAAGAGCAGCTACAGGCTAAGGGGATTTTAAAAAGATAAACCTAAAATTCTGTTGATACAGATAGGTGAGAGATTCCTTCAGAAAGTTAGATTTTCACAGAGGCTACAGAAAATTGTGGCAGTACACCAGAGGTGGTAGGAGGTAAAAATGCTCAGCATTCATTAAGCTCAGCATTAATTAAGCTCAGCCCAATGCACTTCTGTTTCAGAGAGGGATCCAGACCAAAATGCATGGTCTTCAGAGAATTTGGATTAAGAAGCTCAAATGTTCTCTAACAGCTCTTCACTGTATGGAATCACACACCTTAGACTCCTTTTCCGCTTAAGCCAGCATATTTTAATTCAGATTTCTTTCTCTCTTCTTCCCCCAATCCTGCTTTTTTCTCTTCCTCATTTAAAATAGCTATCAAGAAATTACGTGGGAATTCCAGCCTTCAACCAACTTTTCCAGGATTTGGAAAGAGGAAAGAACTCCTCATCCCAGCTGAACGATTTTTCAAGGAGACCTTCGTTAGCCCATTGCTTGGGGAGCTCCCGGAGAGGCTCCTTGGAAGGGCCCCTGACAACCAGCACTGCCTTCCACGACAAACCCCTGCAGGAGTATTTCAACGAGAGGCTGCTGGAGCTGGGGAGCTATGGAAGTAAGAGATCCAACAGGAAAGCAAAAGCAGTTGGTGATGAGAACCCCCAGCGAGGGTCCCGGCGCAGGAGCAGCTGCAGCGCCGTGCTGGTGACAGGGCAGGACAGGGAGGGGTCCTGTGTGCCAGCAAACCAGGACAGCCAAAAAGGGATCCAGTGGAACGGTCAGGACAAAATCCAGAACGTCCTGAAGCTCTACAAGAGTGACTGTTTGGACATTTTGACAATGCACATCACTGCTCCCCTAGAAGTATTTGTGCAGAAGAAATGACACCAGGGCTGGTTACGGCTTTCCCGGGAAAAATTGTTTCTGTTCAGCACCATCCCGACTTCAGTTCAGACACGTCAGCCCCCTCTGACACAGAAAGATGCTTGTTTGGGGGAGGAAATAGTCTCTCATTTTGTGTTCTTGATTTACGTCGCATAGATTTGTTTTCAACTATTTTCTGCAGAGAATCAGCATAATTACCCCATAGGTGTGACTCATAGCAGAGTTCTAAATATGTGCATATATTACTTAAATGCTTACATGGCCTCGAAAAAGGTGATAAGTGTCAGAGGTGTAGCTTGTTTCCTATTGTGGAGTTGGTGTTAGTTAATCTGAAGAAAGAATGTTGTGTTCTGCCTAGTTACTTTGCTTGTTTTAAGCCTCTTGGTTTTATCACTGTGGCCCAACTAATTCATGGTCTTATTATCTCTTATTTATGACACAGACAAAATAGTTGATGAAAAATTATCGATTTTCACTCGTTGCCACATGTAATCTCCAGGTGGATCACTGTAAGAGCTTGACACGTGAAGAAGCAAACACAGAGAGAAGATTTGCTTTTAAATATGATCAGCTATTATGGTTTCATTTGCAGACTCAGAAACCTTTGAGTTAAAAGCCACTACAAGGGCAAAGAGGAAAAAAATGCTAGATTCGAGTTAGAATGATGGAATTAGGCATGAAAGAAGGCTCCTTCCTACTTTCCTATTGTAAATATGAGAACAACACAGCAAATTCCTAATGTAATCTGAGCTTCAAATTGTTTATGGGATTAGTATTTATCGTGGTTGTGTAAGTACACAATGTCAGCTGCAGCTGAAGCTTTTCATTGTGGGAAATGTCAATGTTTAATTCCACAGTACACTGACTGAATACCAGACCCAAAGTGGGGCAATGATTTTAAGCTTCCAGAAAGATCTACTACTGCCTGTGGTATCATTGGCAATAAATTCATTACGGTGTTGGTTTGAATTGATGTCTTGTCTCTTTCCTTTCAGACTTATTGTGATTCAACAATTAAGCCATGCCCCTGGCTAGACCTAATGCCTTCCAGTGCTGACTCCTCTCCATCACTTTTCCCTCCTTGTTCCTCCCATTTCTTCAGTCCTTGTGAAACTTGCCCCAAGGTGTGCCTTGTCCCTTCTGCAGGTCATATTTTCCTTCTTCCCAACACCTATTTGCAGAAATATTTCTTCTGCACTGTCTCCTCAGCTCTTGGGCCACACCTTTCTGTCTTTCAGAGTGTGTGGATGAACATGCAGAAAGGAGAGGGCAGATTAAGGAACCTCTCACACCCCTCCTGCCAGTTCCCTCAGGAAACAGCCAAGAGTTTCCCCCCTAAAATGGAAATGAAACATATAAGAGTCATTCCACACCCCTTCCCCAGTCCTGGGATCAAGATGACCCAAGACAACCGAGATGGGATCCTGAGAGCTCTCAGCCCTTGGTGTGTGGGAGAAAGCACTGCACACTTGAGCCAAATGAATTTTTCAGAATTCCCAAATGCCTTCCTGCTGCAAATGGAGGGAGCAGCCAATTAGGTGAGATTTTTCCCTGCAGGAAAATATTTTTCTTTTTTAGATTTAAATGAAAGTCTGAAAGCCACAATGTGTTAGGAGATGCCATTGAGGGGATGCATCTGGTTCTCATTGCAAGTTTGCCAGGGGTTAGTTTCTCCTCTAGGAGTGAATGCATAGTAATAACAGAGTATTATGAGAGGGCATAATAATAACAGTGCATAAGGAGAAGGGAACAATATTAATGGAACACAGGCAACCTTAATTCTTTCATTCCTTAAACATGTGGCTTAGCACCCCTGAACGCGTGCTTTTGAAGTTTAGTTTTGCAAATAATTTCCAATCTACAAGCTTTTTGGAAAAAAGAAAAAAAGGCAAACTGCCTGCCTTCCTGCTCCTGATATTTTAATGGTTATCACACTGCAGTGGCCCGAGATTAGCAGGTCTGGAGCATCTTGAGTCTCTCTGCAGACCTCTGCCATATAAACAGAGGTATGTGGAGACTTGCACTCTTAGGGTGCCACTCACATTTGCTAATAGTGAAGGAGAAAACTTTTCCTGGATTAAGAAAAAAAATTAGCAGTGATAGACCATAATTAAAATAAACCCCAGAAAACCAGGTACTTTCTTCACTGAAAGGGTGGCCAGGCATTGGGACAGGCTGCCCAGGGAGGTGGTGGAGTCACCATCCCTGGACGTGGCACCCAGTGCTCTGGTTCAGTTGACAGGGTGGTGTTTGGCCAAAGGCTGGACTTGATGGTTTTGGAAGTCTTTTCCAACCTTAATGAGTCTGTGATCCTGTGATTTACCCAAGCATCTGTAAATGGGCTATTCAAGCTGCTCAGCCTCTGGGCAGCTTCTCCACTCAGGGCAAGGCAGAGCACCAGCTTTTAACAGGCCCTATTTTAATTTTATATTTTACTTTTACTGAATACCAAAAGTGAAACAGAATCACAAAATGCAAAAAATTAGGGCTTTGACTTGGCAGCAACTTGTACTGTTTACTCACTCAAAAGAACCCCATAGACCTTAAATTGCAGAGTCAGGCCCATTTATGGTATTTTTCATCTGTAAAACACCCTAGGGAATTAAAAAAGTTGACATGCTTTTTAAATTGGATTTCCTTCAAAACTGTGTCATGACTTCCCTCTGAGAAGTTGCCCATCTCATGTCAGAGGTAGTGGAAAAGTCTAAGGAAGATTACATCTCCCAAGAGGGAACATATCTAGATGTTACAGAAAAGACATGAACTTACAGAGAGAAAAAAAACCCCGCCAAGAACTGTTAAGAGAAGGAATAAAATTTCATCTCCTCTCAGATTGTTAAAATCTTGTGAAAAATGGCTTGGGTTTGTTTGGAAAGTGAGAATATGCACAACCTGAATTTATACAGTCTATTACCTTAGGTTTCACTGACTTTAGCTGTTGGATGCAGCTGCTTCTTTCATGCAGATAATCTATTTTCACAATGTTCTTTCAAGAAACTCGATGCAGACACTGCTTGCCATTAGCAGTCTCATAAAAATATTCTTTATGCCTCCCCGAAAAATTCTTCTTTCTCCTCTTAACAACAAAAGCAGTGCATCACTTCCCTCCTGGAGATTTTGCAGCCACTCTTTATCTCTGTTTTAGATCTTTCTGTGGGGAATACTGAACAGCACACTTGGCTGGATGTTGTTTTCCTTCTGTAAGCATATTCTCTCTGCCAGACTGGAGCAAAGTCCTCTGTAGGGCCTCATAAATCAGTGCTCACCTTACTTTAAAACATATTTCATGTCTTCTCAAGCCTTTGTCCCTACTGGTGAGTTTGTCATCCTCTCCTTGAACTTACCTTTAAGGCTGTAAAGAGTTGTGTTGGCTGACAGAGCAGAGAGAGGCTGGGGAGGTGAGGATGGAAGGCAGAGGAAGGAGGTGCCAGGGGAAACATAACCTGCTTTTAAATGAGAATCTGAACCTTCACAAAGGGAGATATAACCTCAGTTTGGCTTTTGGTTCCCTCAGTCTTCCTGAAGATGTGATGGGACAGAAAATACAAAACATATGAAGCCACAAAAGCATCCAGCAAGGTATGGACTGCATCCCACCCTCTCAGTAATCATCTTCAGGATCCCAAGGACTTCAAGAGTCTCCATTTGATTACATGCTTCATTAAAGCAAAACATAATTTTCATGTATTTAAATTAAGGAATTTATTAAAAAAAAAACCCAAACGAAAAGAAAAAAAAAAACAAAGCCAAAAACCCCAATCAAAACAGTGGTTTGATCTAGATACAGCAGCACTGTGACATTACTAGGACATTATGTACGAAGAATCCAAGCAGCCATAGAACACAGAAGCCTTTATCTTCAGTAACAATCTCAAAATGAAACTAACTTCATCAAACAATGTTAAAGATCTCCCTGGAAAGAGAAACAAAACCAAACAGACCCTCCCCACCCCAACCCTTTGGATATTAGAATGATTTTTTTTGTACAATACCGACAGCCACTAGCTCTTCTAATTGAGAACACTTGCTTTAATTTATTACAAAAATGATCTGTTGACTCAGTTATGAAAGACAACTTTTAACATTGCTTTAGAAGTGTCTGCTCCTCTTATAGACTACAGTATTAGAAGTGCTTAAAAACATTTAATCCTGGATATGCTCTTGAAATTGAATCAGGATATTCTGTGTGTGTTTATATACCAAATATGATTTTTAATTTTTAAAGCAGGTGAAAAGACTAACCCTAATATGAAACTGCAATTTTACAATTTAATTATTAGTCAGATATGGGCAACCACATGATAGTTCATGAAATCTTTAGGTCTATCTACATTGCTCAGAAACACAAAACAAAGTTTTTACAACTTTCACCTTCAAAAGGCTAAAATCTTCAGTCTTTTAGAAGAGTGTCCAGTGTTTAAAAGAAATGCAGTTAAGGGAGACCGCATCCAACACACATGAAACAACTCGTTTGAGCTTGCTAATCAACGTATCTGACAGCTGTGGGTGGGGTGATGAGACAGGAGAACACTTGCCATCCAACCACCACCTGAGGTGTTCCTTCTCTGGCAGTGAATCTTCTCCAGGAGCTCCCCTTCGGAGCCCCCCGATCCCAGGCACGTTGCCTCTTTTGTTTCCATGGCTGGGCAGAGCTGACCCAGTGTTGGCCACAGATGCACCTCTGGGACTTCACACAGCCCCTCACTCAACTGCTAATGCAGGGAATCCTCACTCAACTGGTAATGTAGGGAATCCTTTGCAGCCTCGGCCAAAAAAGTTGAACCAATGAATGTTATTTTGTTCCCTTCCTCGTAACTATTTATCTAAAAAAAGAGGAAGTGTTCATGGGAATGCTATCATTACTGGCCAGCTTTTAAGTAAGAAATTAATACTTTTAACATTTGTTTGCACTGTCACCTTATTGTCTGTTGGAGATGTCTCACAGAAGTGCAGTGCTTTCTCTTTCAGTGTCTCTAAGGAACTAAGACAAACCAATAATAAAAGAGCCCTAATTTAGAAAAGTCATCTCCCCAGTCATGTAAATAAGAGCAGCTATACTAAGCCTATTTCACTGAAATAATAGTACAAAGAGTTGATATTGATCTGGTTTATGCACAGACTCCAAAGTGCTTTCAACTGACAGACAGAGAGCATCCCTCTCTGTTTAAAAGTGGGAAAACAAAACTGCCCAGAGGTTTGCCCAGGGCAGTGAAGAAAAACATGGGCAGAATAGGAACCCAAACCATCACTCCTGGCTCCAGTACATAAACCAAGGAGAAGAGTATGTGCCAGCAGTAATATTCATTATAGTGAATAGGCAGCAATCTGTTTAAAATTGTTTCTTTCATGAAGCCCATTTGTCAGTACCCCAGCTTAGCTGATCCAACAGCAGCAGCTTGTATTTGTGTTATCATAGTGATGTTTGGGAGAGGTGAGTGTATAATACTGTAGCATGTTGTTGGCTCTCACCTTCTCTGATGAAATTTTTTATTTTCCTTAAAGGAAATAACTTCAAAATTCTCTAAAGCAATTTATTTATCTTTTTTTTTTTTTCTTTTCAGTTAAGGACAGACAATTATTACCAGCCAGCACTGTAATATTATTTAGTGTAAAAGACACTGTATCCTGCCCAGCACACAAAAGAGAAGAATTGTTTTAAACTTATGCAGACTTTCTCTCAGCTTTAGCATGAGGGTGTTAGTCATTTTTTTTACTCTAAATAATTAGTAGCATTTTCAGTGTCAGGGCATATTTGTGAAAGGCATGAGATAGACAACTCTGGAATCTCCTGTTTTTCATGGAGCCGTTGAACAGATTCTCCCAAACTTCCCTGCCAAATGTACCTCCCCACAGCCTGACCCAGACTAGGAAGGAAAACCTTTAAGTCTGGACTTCTAAAGCTCCTGCAGGCCACTTTGTGCTTCATGCTACACACATGAAGGAAGATGGACTACATGCCAAGGGACAGACCAACCCAAAGATGTTCCTTGAAAGAAAAATCCAGTCTTTCCAAAGACTGTAAGGGAAATGCTTAGAAATGCCTGATGAATGATCTCCCCTACACTGAGCAACTTGAGCATTGCAAATACCAACTGAACAAAAAGAACGAGCACAACTAACTGTGGAGAGAGGTTAAAACACACATATCTTGTCCACAGTGAAGCCAGTTCCTGCAGCCTCCTGTTCCACGGGGATTGGTGAGAAGAAGCAGCTGTGCTATAAGGAGGGGCATTTATTGCTCTTCCAGAAAAGCCTGTGCAGGGAACTCCTGCACAGGGAACCGAGGCTGGGACACATGGGAACAGAGACCTCTGTGATGGCTGTTCATGCAGGCTGAGGGGGTTCTCACTTGCCTCATCAAACTGTTCCCTCTGACCCTCAGAGAGACAACCCTGTCTCTGAGCCCCAGGCCAGGCTGCATGTGTAACATGGCCTGGTGTGTGCAGTTCTCAGGTGACTGAGGAAACTGTGACCAACGGGTGATAAACCAAGGAAGAACATGCAGCAGTTTGGACTTGACATGTGAGGCTTTGACAGCTGAAGCAAAGAATTCAAGCTGGATCCTGAGGCCTGGGAGAATGACCTTAAGAATCAGCGTCTTCAAATCAGATGCTTTACTGGGTCAGCCAAGCTTGATTCCCACTGCTGATGGCACTCTCAGCCATAGTTTCTGGGATGACTGCAAATTGAGATGGTATTAAACTGTTTTTACGGAGAGCTGTTCTGTCTCTGAACTGCCAGCTACCAGGAATCTCTAATCAGTAGGGCCAGATGGACACTGTGATATTGAATTCTGCAGTTTCCTAACGCTCAGCTTGATCTCCAGTACCTGCTTGGCTTGATTATCTTCACACCTTTCTGAACTTCACAAGCAGCTTTTTGTTCAGAAACAACATCTGAGTCATGGCCATGCTTGTGAAATATCTCTTTTTAGATAATCCAGGTCAAGGGTGCACACTCAAGAGTTTGTTATTTTTTCCTTCATTATCCCTTGGTTTAAAAAAAGCCTCCCATCCAACAGAGAGTGGGAAAAAATGCTACAAGACTCAAGTGAACCTTGAGACACTGTAGAAAATGGATAGCAAACACCTGACTTACAAAAGCCTGTAAACCAATTAGTGTTCATCTGACTGCTCAGTAAAGATTTAAAAATAAAAAAACATGTTTGCACAATTCAGGATCAGATTGCACAATTTCTGATTCTTAAAAAGAGCTAAGTTTGCTTATCTGTCTATTTAAAACAAGCAACCAGATCCGAATATATGCATTTTTTTGGAAAGAATTTGTATTGTAATTGAAAAGGAGGCAGAGAAAATCCATCAAACCAAATTGCACCTGCAAATTCCACCATAGTGGAAGTGAGAGGACTGTGGTCCTACTCCAGTCTTGAGTGCAAGGTGAGCTGAATAATTAAAAAAAAAAAAAAAAGGCTATAAGAAAGAAATCCTGCAGGTTTTGTTGTAGGCAAACCCTGGCAGGGAGAACTCTAGGACTGTTCATCAGCACTAGAGATGTACAATATTAAGTCTTTCGTTGCTGGGCACTGAAAAAGCACAACAGTTCTGCTGCCCCAGTATCATAATACTGTTTATAGTTTGTCATTCAGGATGGACACACTTAAGGGATGCAGCACGAAATCTCCCTCAATTATCTTGTTTTGTGTCTCTGCTCTTCCTCACTCACTGCTCCCAAGGAGGTGGAATCCAGAGGGAGTCCATCCTAGGCCTTCGGGTGCACACCTTGAGGATTCAGGATATCTAATCCTACCACAGTGTCCTCTAAGCATCAGGAGTCAATGAATGCAGCTCTCATCCTTCCAGGACTTTGCACTGTCCCTGTGTCTCCACTGGTAGAGTCCTAGAGGTGCTGAGTGAGGAACTGTGCCAGCTGAAAGGAGAGCAGGACAAGGCACAAACGCTGTCCTTCACTGTTGTCACTCAGAAGTCATCCATCACTAGATAATGCTGGTGGCAGCTAAGATGTATAAGGTCAGCTCCAAACTGTATTTGCAATTTGTTCACCAGCTTTCAGTAAGGGTTTTGTTGTTATTAGATGGTAAAGAAGGAAAATGTCAGTCTTCATCAGGAAGCTGAAACCATTACAGATTTGATTTATAGCTGGTTCAGAGAGATAAAATTGGTTATAATTCTCATCTATTACTACCTGCCTAAAATCTTGCATCTTCTGTAAGACCTGCAATGCCATCATCTGCCATGGCAGAGTGGCTCAAGCCTCATCTCCCTTTCTCAACTTTTCTCTGCCAGCTGCTTTGTGCAAGTCCTGCCCCTGTCATTTCTCTCTCCCTCATGACCTCAAGCTGCTTTACTCTGTATTCCAGTGTCTTTCTCACTCAGAGACTTGCCACTACTAACCTGCATCTTCTTCCCCCTCAGCACTGGACACATAGAACATACACCTGACAGTCTAAGGAATTTTGACTATTAAAAGTTCCACTGGAACTTCCTTGTACCCTGGGATAGCTGCACTACAAGCTAACAGGGTTTTAGACACATCAGCTGGCTTCAGATGTTCCTGATGACCCAAAGGTGTAAAATCATCAGTACAGTGCAACCAACAGTGCAAAGAGCACGGGGAACCCACCTGCTTTACAGAACACACTGGGCTACAGAGATCCTGCCTGCAGCTGGGGGGACAAAGGTCTTCCAATTCCTGCTGAAGGGAAGTAACCACATTTTTGCTCTGGTGTTCTTACCAATAATAGATAGGGGCATACTTGAGAAGAGCATGATTCTGATGCCTGAGGTTCTGCTGCTGATCCTGACTGGTCCTGTTTATACCAGTGGGGACAATGTTTTTGTCAATGGTTAAAGGAACCTGGACAAAGGATGATGGAACCAAAAGTGGGGGGTACTATTTCAGAACTGATATTTTATTCAGCTGAGGATCTAATCGAGGGGGGAGTCATGGGGTGCTTGCATGACACATGGAAGGACTCTAAGTGCAGACACAGCCTGTAGGTTCTGCTGCTGCCACTCTGAACCTCCACAGCTCAACTCTAAGTCATCACAAATCCCAGGGTCAGCACAAACCAGACTGTTGAACTTCTCTCTTGCTACCTGTTTGATATGAGAAACTGTGGAAAGGCCTTGGAATTTGACTGTAGCACAGAATATACTTTGAGTTTTGCTCTCATTTCAGCAGGTGCAGGTTTGAAAAATAAATGGACGTTTGCTTTCTGGGTCACCTCTCACTCAGCTTTGTTCTATCTGTCATTAGAAACAGCACAAAAACTAGTGAAGGAGAAGAGCTTCAAATAGGGCTCCTTTTCTAACTAAAAAGTACTTGATGAAACAACAACAGAAGGAAGTGCAAATCTCAGCTGGGCTGGTCCCATGACATCACAAACCTTCAGCATGGCAAGTAGCATTCTTGAATGCACCAAAATCTTGTCTGTTAGCATTTAATGCGAGACATTACAAACTAATGAAGAGGAGAAATGTATGCAGTGTTGCTGTAAACCAAATATACAGATGTAAAATAATTAAGAATAAACTGTTCCATAAAAATGCATGTCATTAAACCCCAGTCTGATAAAGTGATTTATGAAGAATTTTCTAGAATTGCTAAAAAGAATGATTTCTCATTTGAGGCTCTGGAAGTCTTGAGTCACATTTTGTTTCTTTTAAAAAAATGTCTTAAAACACATGGCTTTACAGCTGCTGCTTGGAAAATATACACCTCCAAAGTCTGACTTTCATTTAAATACAAATGTACAAAATGTAAACTGAGACAATAGAGAAATTTACAAAACTTTTCTTTAAAAATAATAAAGACAAAATTCAGTTCTAGTATGATGCTATTTAAATACGTGCAAGTAGTCATGTTCATTGAATTTCTATTGCAATGTTCTAAATAGACAAATGTGATTCACACAGTCTTGAGTGCCACCTCCAAAAACAGACCTGAGTGGAAAATTCTTCTTAAAATGCGAGGCTCCACTGGAAGGAATGGATAGAAAATCTCCATTTTGGGAGATCCCTTTTATTTTCACTCAATGGTGGAGGCTCTCTCATCCACAGAAGCTCCAGAGATTATAGTGGAAGGATGCAACATGTTGTTTCACAAAACTGAGCTGGAACTAGCTGCTTCCAGTGGAGTTTGAACTCACGTGATTTGAATTTATGTGGTGATTTAAACTGGCCTTTGAATTTGGAGAGCTCTTTGAATTGTTCTGATGCTGTAGAGAGAGGAAGACAACGGCAATTAGATTTCCAAAATATGCCATGCTTTTATTTTTAGTCCAACATTGCTCATTTTGCGGTGATAAGGTACTGACTGGACTGCAAGGTTTTTTTGTTTGAAGATCTTTGGATGCAAAATATTCTTTACTTTCTTACCTGTATTCCCTCTAGGTCAGCAGGACCATGGCAGTTCTTGAGGAATGAAGCAAAGAAGACTCACTCGAGCTCCAGGAGTCAAATCAATTCACTGCAAAACGTCAGTATCTGCTAAATCTGGCTAATACAGAGGATACCTGCCAATGCTTAGGCATGGTTTTAACTCTACAAAAACAGATCAGTCTAACAATGTTATTGAGATTTGCAAGTGGTGCCATGGGGCCTCATGAAACCTGTACATCATGCATGATCTGGTCTGCTCTCTTTTTACTGTCTTGGTTTCCTGCCATGACCACCTCCCTCAAAATTTGCATTTTCTTTTCTTTTTTTTTTTTTTAAACATATAAATCAAGGATTTTCACAAGGAACTTCCTAAAACTAGAGAATCACTTCAAAAGGCACGACAGCATACCACTGAAAAATAGGTTGGGTAAGAAGTTTTCAATTGCTGGAAACAAAACTCATGAGCAACACTGGAACTTCTGGCAGTAAAAAAAAAAATATAAATCACAAGAGGTAAATGGAAAACCTGGGACATGCAATATTAGCCAGGGAATTATCAGGTAACTGTGACAGCCAGCCCTCTCTGAGACACTCTGCCTTCCTCCTAACAAAAATACCAGCAGAACATGGCTGTGACACTGGGCACCTGTGGGAGCTCCCTTGTCTTAGCCGTAAAAGATCTCACCTGTCGCTTAAATATTCTCTGTAGCAATCCTTTCTTGGGTGGCTCTGGGGGGTAGCTTTTGTTTAGGTCTGGTGAAATAGTACCATTTGGTCCAAACACATTCAGCTCCTTGAAGCACTCTGTTTCTATCATCTAGTGGAACACAAGGAGAAAGAAAAAAAAAAAAAAGAAATGATATAACTTAATTAACCAAATTCCAGTAGCACTGGGTTGTTCAAAGTCACCAATACGTTGGGAGGGTTAACACTTGGTTCCTGCTGGTGTCTATGGAAGGCAAACAGGATGTGTGAAAAGGAGAGGCTGAGTCTGCTCTGCACCTTTGCACATCACTCTTGTCAAAAACTGCCCCGTGAAACTTCCCGTTCTTTTCTTTAGCATTGTGGAGAATATTTTGGGTAAAGGCAGGCACACTTACAAAACCCCAGTTATTAGCACCCCTCTGCCCAAGTGGATCTGCTGTCTGATACAGAGTTAGATTATGAAATCTACTGTTGACTGAGTTTTGATAGCAAACAGAAAGAAAGACAGATCTGGGAACCTCAGAGCAGTTCAAGGTCCAGAGTCAATGCTGCAGCTGGGACCCACTGCAGGTACAAGGCAATGGGTGACATCAAGATCACCAGTGGAGGAGCCTTCTACTAAGACTTCCAACTATCCCAGAAAAACTCCCGAGAGCCGTTGCTGAAACACTTCCGCAGAAATCCAGAAGGAAGTACAGTAGGATCCTGGCCAATTTACACAAATATCCAGAGCCAACAGATACAGTCACCTGAACCTGACATCTGTGGTACATTACAGAACTTGAAAGGGGCCATTTGTAACTCATGAAAGCATTAGAGTCTGGCAGGTTCTCCAGTAGCTATATATTACTGGAAACATACTGCTCCTCTTAAACCATCTGCATTTGGGCTTTCATTGGAGTAACTTTACTATGATACACCCTTACCTCATTTTGCCATGGGATAGACACTGATCCTGTGGAAAACTTGGAATAGAAATCATCATCTGTTTGGTCCAGGTTAACTCCTTTCACTGTGGAGAACTGCTCGATGTCCAACACATCCTTGCAGTACACTGCTCTGGGCTGTCAGCAGCAAAGAAAAACAAGAGAAAAAATATTTCTAAGGCAGATCATGTGCTTTCATTCACAGGTTCAGTCAAGTGAGAATGTCTAACAACAAGTGTGTGTCTGCATCCTCTTTCTCTAGACTTGTTCTGCCTGCCTGTTCATCATCAAAGGCTGACTTCACCTTAAGCACATTAAGCTTCCTATTTCGAAGTCCTTAAAGCATCAGTCAAAGTAGGTTTTAGTCGTCCATGTACCATCTGCTTAAGAGGTGAGAAGAAAAGAACAGAGAAAGCAAGAAAACAAAAATCAAATCCTTCAACAGTCTTTTCTTTTTAGAGTGGAAACAACAGAAAACCAGAATGTTTATGAGACAGTTCTGAAAAGAGGCCTCAAATAGAAGTGCCCTCCTGGTCAGATAGCTGTGGGGTTTGCAGCTTAAAAAATTTAAAGGAATGTACACTAATTGCTAAAGAAAACAGAGGAGGTTTGGCATTTTTCCATTGTTTTTATTAATAGCTCTGCTGCTGGAAGCTGTCCAGAAGCACCTCTATTAACTCTTCTAACTTGTCTGCATTTGTTCAAAGAAACAGTCAAATGGCTTTGCCTTTTTGAACTACTTAGCTTTCTGGGATGACAGAGACAGAGCTCTTTGCAGTGACATGGTTTTTAGCTCCTATTCCAGCAGTCAGCCACAGAGAGCAGAAATGGTCATCACTGGCTCCCTGTCACCCTCAGTGTGGTCACCTGTGTGCCCAGAGAGTTCCCAGCTACCCTCTGATGTGCAGGGATAATCGAGGGGTGGCTGGTGGGACCAGCCTGACCTGCTCAACTGCAGCACGTGTTGAATCCTACTGTCTATAGATGGTACCATGACTGCCCAGGGTTCCAACAGTGCAGCACTTTATCTGAGCACTGTGGCCAAACAAACAGAGCTGACTCCTGACAGGGGTCCTGTGTGCCGAAGGCTGCATCCTTCTGCATTCCAGATGGCTGCAATCCACAGCAATTTTGTGGACACAGAGTAATCTAGAAGAGGATGGAGAGACACGGGTTGGATTCCAACCTCTGCCATTGGCTATATAGCTTTGGGTGATTCAGCTGACTTCAGTAAAGACTGGGACATCTACGGATGAATTGGCAAACAAATCAAATTAGGGGCAGCTCTTGAGTTCCCGATAAATAGCCATAAAAATTTATGTGCCTTTGCTTTAGCAAATATTTCTCTAAGAGGTGCCTTCTGGGCCTTTCGTGCCTCAGCTAAGCTTTTAACACACTCTGGCAGGTCCCAAATTTGAGCCCAGAATTTTCTAATTTTCTACATCAGAAAGAAATAGTAGCTTGTCTCCTGTTTCTTCCCACTAAAGCAGGTCGTAACACCATGGGCTAATTGGCAGGAGTAACTAGGCCACATAGTAAAATGTAAAGCAAAACCAGAGCAGCTAAAGTAAACTCTCGTAGCATTGAAACCACTTTGGTTTGGTTGAGTTTGCAGCAACATGAATGAGAGCTGCCAAGATGTTACTTTCCTTAATACATTAAAATGGCAGTGTTTACTTAGAACCATATGGGAACTTTAAGGATAGAAGGTCTAGCCAGAAAGAGAGCCCTGCAGGAGGAAAATCATCAGATAACTCTGTGCGCTGGGGTAGAAATTAATACCACAAAAGGGTGGAAAAAGCCTTGTTGTTGCCAATGCAACAAAGACTTCGAGTATGTGTGAGTCTGGGGTGTAAACCTGAGTAAGGACTCAACGTTGGGTTTCATGCCCCATGAACACTAAAAAGTTCAAAATGCTCTCTCAGGTCCAAGTCACCTTCTCTGCTGGAGGTGACACCTGATTTCATAATGACCAAGTTTATCCCCTGGCTCCACAGAGCTTTGGACTTTGTAGTTCTGGTTTCACTCAGCATGTATATCTATAAATCTGTGTGCATACATGTGGCTTCCACTGCTGATGGTGCCAAGCACCACCTGGTCCTGAGCACACTGATCCTCACACCACCACCATGGATAAGGGAATACAAAGGTTTCCAGTGCCTCCAGTGTCACACGGGAATGCCGAGGTAAAATGAGTGGGAGTGACTGAAGGCCCAGGTGACCATCCTGTGTGGAGGCTCACCCACCCTGCACACACACACCTACAGAGCTCCCTCTGCTCTTCCTCCCAGCACCTCCACTCCAACCCTACCACTTCTCACACCTTCCCATGCAGAGAGTGGTAACAGCCCTGAGAGAGAGAAGTTATTTTAGAAACAAATCTCTAGAAAGAGGCCACTGGGGGTTCTTCCCACCGTACTTACATCAGGGACAAAGGGAGGATCCAGCATTCCTGCTTCTAACCGCTTGAAATTCATGCTCTTGAAGAAGGGGTGCCTCTTCACTTCTGCTGCACCTTCCCCCTGACATCCCAGCCGCTGCTTCACGTCTTTGGTGAGGAGCTGAAACGTGCCAAGAGGAGTGGTGAGGATGTCAGAAAAGCGAGAGCTCCACAGAGATATTTTTATCTCCAGTTGTTTTTGAACGTGCCCAGAGGGAAGCACAAAGGGGAGGTGGAATTGCTGCTGCTTAAAGGCTGAAGTTAAATGGATTAAGACTGCACTGTTCCACATGCTGGTAAAACCATTTGAAAATCACCTGCTGTAAAGTATTTACAGTCAAAATAGAGACTGTTGCTTCTGCTTACTTTCAGTGAACACTTTCAAGAAAAGATCTGACATTCCTTAATAACTTATATAGATGCACATTCATAAGTCTCATGTGCTTTTTCTCATTTTTTTTCTTTTTTTTTTTTTCTTTTGTATGGATGGACTAATTGATCTGCAAGGAAAGAGTTCAATAATTCTGGCACAAACTAGTTGGTAGATGAGTAGACAACATGTAGCCAATCTTCACAAAAATGTCTCTACTTTTAAACCATATGCATAGGATCAAGTAGGCTAAGAGATCACAACTAAAACAGTTGAAGAGAGGTAGAGCTTATTGTGCAAGTGACTGGTTCAAAAAGACCATCACTTGGGACAGGGACCTGTCTAAATGTACCACTGACTTGAAAGGCAATCTGCTGAAAAGTGAAGGTTCAGTTTTGTTTCCCTGTTTTCCTTTCCATTCATCTTCAAGGAAGCCTGCATTATGCTCAGATAAAGATGGGAAAATATAACTCCAGAATCACCATCATCTGCCAGAGATTTCAGCTGCCTACTCAAGAGATGTGCAACTTGTGTCTCAGCTCAGCAGCAAACTAAACATGCACTGCAAACGGGCAAGGCTGGTTTTGCTGGGTGCTCTACATTTTCCACACCGGTGGAAAATGCTCCAGGGAGACCCTAAAGCCCCTTCCAGTACCTAAAGGCAAGAGAACACGTTGCCCAGAGAAGCTGTGGCTGCCCCATCCCTGGAAGTGTCCAAGGCCAGGCTGGACGGGGCTCGGAGCAACCCGGGCTGGTGGAAGGTGTCCCTGCCCACGGCAGGGGGTTGCACTAGATGTTCTTTAAGATCCCTTCATCACAAACCGCTCCGTGGCGCTGCCAGTGACCCGGCACTGACAGGAGGGGTGTCTGTCGTGCCGGTGCCGCCGGGAGGCAGCAGAGGAGCGGCAGCGCGGCCGGGCCGGTCCCGGGAGCATCCCGGGAGCATCTCCGGGGCAAGGCTCCCGTCCCACCCCCGGCTTTGCTGCCCCAGAGCCGAGCCGGGAAGCAGCGGTCACCCCTGCCCGGGTGGGCTGCGCTCCGTGAGTGGCACTGAAAGCCCCAGCGAGCCGAGGGCACTGCCCGCCCACGGGAGGCTCGTCCTGGACCGTCCCAGCTGCGGCTGTTTTGCTTTCCAATTCATAGAATCACAGAATCAGCTGGGTTGGAAGGGACCTCCGAGATCATCAAGTCCAACCCTTGAACCAATCCCACCGTGGTTCCCAGCCCATGGCACTGATGCCACATCCAGTCTCATCCTAAAAACCTCCAGGGATGGAGAATCCACCACTTCCCTGGGCAGCCCATTCCAATGGCTGAGCACCCTCTCTGCAAAGAAATTCTTCCTAATATCCAACCTAACCCTCCCCTGGCACAGCTGAAGACCCAGCCCTCTTGTCTTGCTGAGAGTTGCCTGGGAAAAGAGACCAACCCCCCCCCGGCTCCCCCCTCCTGTCAGGGAGTTGCAGAGAGTGAGGAGGTCTCCCCTGAGCCTCCTCTTCTCCAGGCTGAGCCCCCCCAGCTCCCTCAGCCTCTCCTCACAGCACTTGTGCTCCAGTCCCTTCCCCAGCCTTGTTGCTCTCCTCTGGACCTGCTCCAGGACCTCCATGTCCTTCCTAAACTGAGGGGCCCAGAACTGGACACAGCACTCCAGGGGTGGCCTCACCAGTGCTCATTGTTGCACAAGACTTTGAGCTCCCTTGGTCCTGAGGCAAGGTTTTTTGTTGCGAGTATTTCTGTATTGGCTTTTGTTTGTTCGTTTGTTTGTTTGTTTTGTTAAATCCCAACAGTCACATGCTCTAGCCTATGTGAAGAAGATAGCTCTGGAATTTCCAGTCAGAATCTGGACTGCTTTGTTGTGGTTGGGCAGAGGAGGCAAAAGGACTTTTGATCTTCTATTCTCATGCTGATAGGGCTTTCCTGACAGGTGGAAAGAAGAATCTGAAGGCAGAAAGACCATTTTTACGGCCTCTGGCTCTGATATACTTTTGGAAACTTTGAAGCTTTCAGGAACAGCGCAGCTGAGGAGCAAGAGGTAGTAGGAAGGGGTAGGTTGGAATTGCCTGTAGATGATAAAGGAGATCTTTGCAGTTTCTGCTCTCAAGTGAGCTGTGAAGGGATGAAAGGGGGTTACATCCTGTCTATGTAGTCTGGACTCTGGATTAAGTGGGAAGACCAAACTAATCTGTGAATTTACCCTTGTCAGGCTCTAAGTTGTTTGGAGTGTGTGGTCAGAGGATAGGGTAGCTGAGGATAGAAAAAGGCTGCCTGGGTATTCCTGGGCTCCTCTGTGATAAACAAGGGAGTATTCAGCAATTTCAGACATGAGAAGGGAGTCTCTGGAGTATGAATGCAGTTGGTTGTGGGTGGCTGGACACTGCAGGCTGAAAGACACAAAAGGGAACAGGCCAGTGGGAATAGGCTGGGACTGAAAGACCACAGAAAGGAGAGGATTCTCCTGCAAACTCCTGCCTGCCTCTTGAGGAGAGTCCCAATGGAAGAAAATGTAATAATTCATGGAATTTGATAAGCTGTAGATTCAACCAGCTCTAGAGAGGGCAACAGGTGAAACCAGACAATTTTTCTGGCTTCTGTTGTGGATATCAAGAGATAGCATGGACTATAACATTTTCCAGAAGGAAAACCCCTTCCTTTGTCTGAGGAATAATGAGTCTTTTACCATTTCCTGCAGCCCGAGAAGCTTTCTGCAATAGTAAACCTGTGCAAGAGCCTGAAACATGCATCCCATTTGGGAATCTGACCTGGAAAAGAAAATGGAGATAACAACTGTGTGTTTTGAGCCACCTCTACACTTTTGTTTAATTCAGCTTCAAAGGGTTTATTTAATATGAACAGAGAGCAGAACAAAAGCAACTACATCAGGCTGGTGACAAGCCCTCCTGGGACAGCAGTGCAAGTGACCCCATTAAACATAATTTCTGTGTATTTTTACAGCCAAAGCCTGCAGATAATTCACAGAGTTTCAAACCTGAAGACATCTTAGGCCACCCAACCATGCATGAAGCTGATACCAAGCATCAGAGCTTTATGTTCTGGCAGCAAATGCTCCAGATGACACTGGACATTTAGGGTTTAGTCTACAGAGTTATGGGCAAAGCATGACTAGAACAGGACTTTCAAAGAGTCTTGAGTAGCAGCAGTGAAGTTACATCAAGATCTTGATATAAAGAGCTTTCTGATACTTTCATGTCACTCATTTCATCCCCACTGGGGATTCAAACTCCGCAATGTCTGAGACTTTTTCCATGACTTTGTTTTGCTTCCTTTTCAAAAAGAAACAACTGTTGTGAGGATTGCTAAAAAAAGCCAACAGCCCCCAAAGCACTGCTTTATCTTCTTGTGATCAATCAGTTCATATCCAGATCATACCATGTAATAAACAATTCCAAGTCCTAGGATGTTAGTCCTAAAATTATAGGAGTAAGGGGAAACAAAAAATTGCTGCTCATGAAAAGAGACAAGGGGAACGGTAAAACCATTTCCATCGACCCAGCTGATCAAATACTTTAAGGAATCACCTAGATAAATTTCAGCCCTAACACAGAGGTAAGCATACTCTTTTCAGCAATTTTTAGAGAATAGAAAGGCAGTGCTATGGTCCCCTCTCAGTTACTAAATGAGAGAAGAGAGTGGAGTGGGAACTGAAGATGCCAGAATGACACGAATGGCTGTACATCATCCTGCTTATGAAATCACAGCCTCATCTGGCCAACTGAAGAGATAAAACACTCTCAGGCATGGGTGACAATTAAGCTCATTGCAAAGACTTACTAGAGAAGATTTATTATTATTGTTGCTGTTGTTATTCTCAATAGCAACAATAATCATTTGAAGAGCACCCTGACGTGTGCGAGGTTCCTCCCAAGACAGATGGAAGAGCAGTTATCCTCGGGCAGCACTGACAAACTTGAAGGTGTCATTATGTGTGAACAAGTTGGTTTCTAGGGATGAGAGCAGAGAGGAAGGATGAAAGCAGGCAGGAGTAGCTGTGTGATGACATTTTCTGGCGGTGAGGTTGAGAAAAAAATTGCTTTTAGGGGAAAAAGGAACCCATTACCTTTTAGTTGGTTGGGGAGGCACCTTGGGAAAGGAATGGAGATTAGAATGGTGGAACAGCTCAAGCTGGAAGGCATGTCTGGAGATTGCCTAGTCCAACCCCTCTGCTCAAAGCAGAGCCACTTAGAGCAAGTGGTTCCAGACCTTGTCCAGCTGGGATTTGGATAACTCCAGGTGTGGAGACCACACAGCCTCTCTGGGAAACCTGTTCCAGTACTTGACTACATTCACTGTGGAAAAGTGTTTCCCAATGTTCAGAGGGCCCCCCCCGTGTTTCAGTTTGTGCCCATTGCCTCCTGTCCCATTACTGGGCAGCAAACCAAGAGTTTGGCTCTGTCTTCTCTACACCCTCCAACCAGAGATCCCTTTTGTGGAGTAAAATGGGAGCTGCAGGAATAAAAGGCACGAGGGAAGACACTTTGTGGGAAACGTAGAGAAGCAGGACACAGTGTCAGAAGAACAGAGAAATATGGGCCCATCCAATTCTGCTGACTTGAATGCACTTCAAGTCACATCTCTGGATGCATGACTGCACTTGTCAGGGAAAACATGCATGTACATCAATGAAGTACAAGTCATAACAACAACAAACAGGGAGCATTTCCTAGAAAGACTGGAGTTTTTTCACAGAAAAAACACACCATGAAGCAGTTATGTTATATGGGAACTATGGGTTGGGGAGCTTCCCAGAAAGCCAGCTGCCCCTGTTCCTAATTATTTATTATTCATCTCTGTTTCAGTCCAAAATGAGGTCTGATTTATGGGAAATTGCTTACAAAATGAAACATGGAAATATGGGATGGATGATGATTAATGGGAGCTATGATATGTGCCTGCAAAAATGCAAAAGGGCACAAACATCCTGCAGGGGAAGGTTGACATGGAGTGACACTAGAGGGCTTTCATATGAGCAAATGAATAAAGACAATATATCTCCTGATGGCGACGCTATGAGCTCATGGAGCAAGCTTTGAAGAGAAGGTTAGGAGACATGGTGAGAAACATGTTGTTCCCCACTCCTACCCTGAAGAGTCCGCTGTGGGAAAGCCTTGTTGTGTCAGATCTTTGTGAAGGCTCAAGTTAGATTCATGTACTGAAACTTTATGTTTCATTTTGCAGACATGAGGGGTAATTAATTGTTACTTTTTTGTGTCCTTGTTAAGATGCTGGTACAAACCAACAGAGTCCTGCTTTTCAGCACAAAGAGCAAAAAGAATTTGAGAAAATACATTTGAATAATGGATTTTTAAAATAAAAAATCTTGATAAAATAAATCACTTTTGGATGTAAAACCACAAATGCCATCACACTTGGTACCAGAACTAAGGCACTTCCTGCCTTAAGGCATTAGTGCTCAAAAAGGGAAGGGTTATCTTTGGATCCATTAATAGTTTGCAGAAACCACCTAAATAAACATGCCACGTGATTGGACGGGGAAGCAGCTAATGATCAAGTTTTCAGGATGATTTATATATAGTCCATGCTTCCCTGAGGCAAGGGAATGAACTAGACGACCTCCCAAGGTCCCACCTCTGTGAAACCAAAGTCTCCATGGCTTGAAGATGACAACGACCACTACAGTGTAATGACTGTCTGGGAGTGGTAGCTCATCTACAGCACTATCCCATCAATGCTGCATTTAATTCTTCTCCACTTTAATTTCTTCTGGGCTTGCTTATTTTCAACGTATACTTTCATTCTGTTGTGCAAGAGACATAAAGAGTAACAAGAAGGGCTTCTACAGGTATGTCAGCCAGAAAAGGGGGCTTGGGCTAGATGATCTTTAAAGGTCCCTCCCAACCCAAACTGTTCTGATTCTGTGCCTCATGCCTGCAAATAACTAGGGAATAAGCAACAGGATATAATTTTTGCCCACTACATTTCCATTCCATACTAACAGCAGGATATGCACAAACCCTCTGCCGCTCCAGCAGACTCTACTCCTCACCTGGAGACAGTTAAGATGCTACCTGAGAAGAGAAGGCTGTTTGAGCAGAAGGATGGTTTGTAAGAGCCTGTGACTGTCCTAAAGTTTCCCGTGTCAGCTTCACTGGGGGCTCTGAATCTCCAGTTAAGGGCAGTGAATGGCCTAGAATATCTATCAAGAGTGATGTCAGCTAGTTACCACCCAGGGATTCAGCACTGAGTTGGTGCACTGTGAGTTAATAACTTCCAGGCACCATACTTGGCAATGCTACCATTATTATTTGCAAGGAGAATTCAGTGTCTCTTCCTGAAGCCAGCCAACCAGAATGTCATCGACCTGTTTGCTTGCCTGTTGCACAAGACATTGGTGAAACTCTCACTACCTATTTGTTGACCTTTCTTTCCCCTCGTTTTCCCTCTACCAGCATACACAGATATGTCATTGCCTCCAAAGGAGACTTCACTCGTTAGCAAACAACATCAAGAGAAAGGCCACAGCCCTTTCCAAACTACAATTCCGCCTTCTAAAGATGGATGTCAACAAGACACTGATGAATTCAGACACAGCTTTGAGATTTCTCGGAGGGTTTGAGGATTTCCATTGTCAGACATGGCTATTGTGCTACAAAAATGACTCCCAGCTGAAAGAGTGAGAAAACATTTTGAAGAACAGCTCAACAGTATTAAGAAAAGCTGGATACCCTGCACCCCAGGGGAAAAGCTGCTAACAAACTCAGTAAGATGGGCTGGGACATTTGAGTGTCACAATAATTTCATTGCATAATCCTTGTCCTGCTTACCCCCAGCTCTCACCAAAGACAATGGAAGCCTGGGGTTTTCAGTTCCTTGCAGGAGACAACCAGAGTCTTGCATCATCAAGTCCTTTTTATTTTTTCTACAATGTTATAAAAGACAGAAATGCATTCCTGACTGCAAACTAACATTCAGAGTCTCACGAGAATAGATACCGCTCCCTCGGCCTTAAAACTTTGGAAAGGGCTCGAGACGACCGTGATGAATCTCACGGAGAAGCAAGCCCAAACAAACACAATTAGAATCAATAGAGAATGCAGTCACCCCATTAACAGATGAGCTTGGTTAGTCCTTGTTTCTGCAGCCCCTCTGTGGGACAGTGTTACTGCTCAGACCGTGTCACACACAGCTTGTTAACGGTGCTGCCACACCAGGCCTTCCAGCCCCTTACCATTTTACAGATGGACTTGGCCTCCTCAGAAAACTTGTGGGAGTACACCTCTTCTGTCTCCAGCACCCTCCTGTCCACTTCTTCCCTCTTCACCTTCTCCTTCCTTCCACGAAATGGAGATTGCCCAGCAATCATTTCATAAATGAGACAGCCTAGCCCCCAGTAGTCAGGGCTGAGTGTGTATCTCTGGTTGTTCAACACTTCTGGAGCTGTGGAGGAGAGTGATATGTCTTGTGGAGATGCTTGATATTTAGATAGGCAAAACAAACGTCTAGAACTTTCATTTTGGTGACTGAACACACATGCACAGACGATGGTGGGTAAAATACAAAAATACCTCCTGATTTCCACTGATTGCATTACAGAGAATGCAGCATGCTACATGCCATGCTGTTTTCTCTACATGCTACATGCCTTGTGCATGCTGCCTTCTGACTTCTCTACCAACTCAGTCCAATTAGAAAAAAAAACAAACAAACAAAAAACCCAGAAAGAAGTTGAAGCTAAATATTAAGCAGAGACCTAAACTTAAGAGTCCCTCCAGACTTCTCCATTTAGGGAAGAAATGAAATGCAAACACACATCCTGTGAACGGCCGTGACATTTCTTCAAAAGCAAATTCTGTCTTTTTGGTCAATTGGTAACTTATTTTTTTTTTCTCTCCCACTTTAAAAAGAACAATCCATTTATTTTGTGTTGCAACCACACGATGCTTTGGGCGTGCAGTCGCTGTCTTGCAGGCCCCCTCACTGCCATGCAGGGGTACAAACACACACACACACACACACACACGTGCTCACAAGCACAGAGCCTCAGTGTGCACGCAAACTTACACTGGGATAACAAAATTTAGACATGACAACTGATTTGCTTGCTTTCATTAAAGTCTCCCCATGGTGTAACAGTGGCTCACATCAGCTAGTTTCTATTTAGTCAAATAAGCACAAGCAAATTTTTACTCCAAGAAATATGCCCACCCAGAGAATGCATGAAAATAATTACATTGAATTTAGAAAACAGATCTAGTTGAACCAGGGAGAGTGTTTTCATTCTACCAGTGCACAAATCTATACTCTTCTTTTGTGCAGCCTCCACTGCACAGAATGGAAGACTCAAGATGACTCTGGTCAAGATGACCATAGGTGTGGACTTACCCATTTTATCACAAACTATCATTTTATCACTTACTATTATTTAAAGTAGCAACTAGAAAGAAACTTTTCTTTTAGCACATAACCCTCCTAAAATAAACCTATGCACTTAAATCACCAGAATCCCAGTTGTTGTCTCCCCTTTTCATTTTCTTTGCTGATTTAAGGTTATAGACCAGACTCACTGAGAGCCGCTGTGGTCCCTCCTTCTGATTTCCCCTGCCATGATTTCTGTGTGGGTTGCTGCAAGGAACTGGACCCAGCCTAATGTGAATATTTTTTATTCTTTTTCTCAAGCTTACATGGCAGAAATATCACTAGAAGTCAAGTAATTATATAAAAGATGAGCTGTAGAAGACTTACCCATATACCCTACTGTCCCTACTCTTCCACGGATTGATTCACCCTCGGGGATTTTAACAGCTAGACCCAAATCAGATATTCTGATATGGCCTGGAAGGAAAATAGAAACAAAAAACCAAAAAGCAGATTTAATAACATGACCCAAATTAATCCAAACCCCCCAGCTGTGGTCATTGCTACAAAACTCTTGCAATTTACTGCTCAGACTTTTTAAGAGAAGAGTGTTCTGAGTCGCTGAATTGGAACAGTTTCATTGATAAGGAAAAGAGGAATTATTAAGGAAAAGAGGAATTATTATGGAAAAGAGGAATTATAAAGGGCACTACAATGCAGTGAAATTAATGTTAAAGTGAGGCTACGGATGGGAGTGGATTGTGTTAGACATTTTAAAACCAAGGAAAAAAAGGCAACGAGAAGCATTCTGTGGGGAAGTGTCTTGAACTGATCACAGAGAATGGATGGGCTGACATAATTCTGTAACCCTCTGATGGCTGAAGGGGCTACATCTGGTCTGTAAGTCAGCATGAGATTCGATTATCGCTGCCTTCAGCAGCAAACGGGTACCTGGGTTTGCACAGAACCAGACTCGGCTCAGCAAAGGATGAAAACACTTTTGAAAACGGAGTGGGAAGCACAGATTTAGAAATCAGAACTTCCTTTGTATTGCATCAGCCTTGCAGCAAGAAGGACAGAAAAACAATGCAAAGAAGGCAGAGAGCCCCAGCAAAGCCGTGCTCTCGAGCGCAGACCCTGCTGAGCTCGAGCACAGCCCCGGCTGCTCCGCTCCATCTGTGCAGGAGCTCCAGCAGCTCAGCCTCCCCTGCACGGCAATACTAGTGTATGCTGAGCCCCTTAATCACTTCAGAGCATTATTTGTCTTTGTGCAATATATATCCTAAAACTAACTTAATCTGCTTTACTGTGAAAGCATCTCTGTAAACCTCTGAGACTTACCATAATCATCCAGCAGGATATTTTCTGGCTTCAGATCTCTGAAAATGAAAGATAGCAGTCATTGGTACGAAGCTGGTTTTGATAACATAACCATACAACTGTGCGAGTGCATTTATTACTAGTAATAAACCAATTGAGTGTCAGCTCAAACAGTGAGGAACTCCTGAAACCAATACAACCTCTTACAACTCACTTCCCAGAGAGACTGAAACCATATGTCTTTTTCTAAACCAGAGTTAGAATTTTTCACTAAGCCAAGCTTTTAGTTCCTAATCCGCTCCGTAATGGACTCATCCATCTAGTGCTGTAAGCCCTGTAAACCAAACCCTGTAGTCCTGTGTGTAGTTAAATCTCTGTTAACATTTTCTGTTGTAAAATCTTTTGTCAAAAAGAAAAATATTTTAAATTTTAAAATGCTTTATTTGCACATGAAAATGGAAATAGCAATCTGTTGGGCTCGAATTTTCCACGCCTGGCATCTGACTCAGACCGAACATGTGAATGTGTGTCCATGCACTTGCACACATGTGTAATAATTTCACCACGTTTGGAAAAAGAGGGGCACGGGGGGAATGCTTTGCCCAGATTAAGGCTCTTCATACAAACATTTGTGAAACTCTAGTGCCTATGTGGTTTGGAGTAATGCCACGAAAATTGGCAAGGTGGTCACTCTGATGTCAAAAATGTGCCTTTTACTGCTCCTGTGAAAAAAAAAAAATCCCAAATCTGGCCAAGTTATAAACTTCTGAAATAAATAATCTCAGTTTTCATATATTTAGCAGAGCCTTGGCAGATCATTCTTCTGAGAGGTTTGTCTGCACGAAACCCACTCCACCAGCTGCTCCTTCTAGATGCTGCCCAGGCCAGCCACGCTCCAGCCCCCTCGCTTGGCCACGGCTGTTTTCCAAACCTGTGCAGCCCAGCACAACTTTGCAGCCACTGCTGCCCTTCTAGGGCTGCTGTTGAGGTGGGAGCCTGCTCATGCCTGGGAGATGGGACCAGAGGTGTGAGAGGGAAGGGAGATGGGCAGGGAGCATCCCAGGAGGGCTGTGGGTGGGTGAGTCAGGGAGAACAGCACTCCTGGCATTCACCACACCGTGCCCTGGCTTTTATCTAAACACAGTGCTCAGTCTGGTGCAAATCCAAGCAGTGTTTGGCCTCTTCTCTTTGTAAGGCCTCCTTGCATTTGTGAACCAGCTCGATCCTGTTAGCTTCCCAGCAAGAGGCACTGCTTTGCAAAGAGCCAAGAGAGGGGGTGCACAGGAGAAACCCTTGCACCAGGGAAACAGGACATTGCACAGAGCCCGGGCAGGAGCCCCCCCTGTGCCTCAAGCTCCGGTGTCATGAATTTTCCTGTGAATGGAGAGGGGTATTTTATAGTTCTGACAATGCCAAGATTAAAATTGCAAAGCTTGCCTTGTTTTTATTTATTATTTCAAGCAAGAGCACGGCACTGTGAATAATCTCCTCTTCTTGCTTGCTTCAGACCCTCTTGACCTCTCAAGATAAGCCTCACTGGGTGCCCAGTGGTACCAAGCCTATTTTTCAAATCAACAATACTGAAATATGTGAAAGGCAGCTGAATGCTGAAGAGAAGCTGTGATTTTATTTAACATACTACTGTGAGCTCTCCCTGCCTATCAACAGAAGGTTTCCAGTGCTGGAGCAACACAGTCAAGGGCATCTCCTATTTATTTTTAAAAATTTATCTCAAATCCTGTAAGAACTATTTAGTTGAAGAACTCAGCCTTCATCAGTAACTTAATCTTCTGCTGCAGCAGTTACTGGTCCCACTTAAAGCTGTAACTTAGCACCACTTACAAGGATCCTGCATGCAAGTTGGGAAATGTTGTCTTTGAATGAGAAAATGAGAGACTCCAGGAGAACTCTGAGAACAGCAGTTGGGTCCCTACAGTATTCTGTGATTTAGGGCAACTAGAGCAAGCTTTCCTTCCCCCCAGACATCAGTTGTCACTCCTGTTTTCAGACTCCTGGTTCCCCGGGATCCAGGCTGGCTCCCTTGGCACGGCCAACACTTCCAGCTGCTCAAGACTGGAATGTCAAGGAGAAATAAAAGTCCCTGGTGGACACAGTGACATGTAAGGCTCCTTTCCAATGGCATGACTTCCCACATGTAAAGTAGCCTTGCCCAAACACACTGAAACATAAACTGCTGGCACTGTGCCCGTGTTTGAGGGCAATGGTACATTGTTTGGCTGTATGGGAAAGCCTAAAGAACTCAATTAATCACAGTGGACAAGGCTCTACCCTAAATTTGTGCAAAATGCCTAGGACAATGTGATCTTGATGCTGACTGGAGCTTCCAGACAAGGTTATAGCACATATAAAAATTATTTACCTATATGCATGTATATAAGTATAAAAAACCTAAAAAATTTTCATATACATACATATTTATATACATAAAAATAATTCAAGGAGAACCAGCAGCTTTTCTATGTTTGCTTTCCACGAACAATCGACCCGTTGACCTTCACCCACATGATGCAGTTGAGAAATGTAGCACAAGTGCCACGTTTGCCAAGGGAATTCTGGATCAGATAAATCTGCCTCTGAGCCTGGCTGTTCTCTCGGGTCACATGTGCATCATCACGGCCCAGGAGATGGGGATGTGTTTTCCAACGCTGTGATTTACTCACGAGCATTTTGTTTACAGGAAGTGAAATTAAGTCTGAGGAATAAGTGTTTTGTGACGAATTATTCGCCCTGAGAAAGCGGCAGCATTTAGCTGCTGTATTTTATTGACCTATATAGCACTTCTCACGGGTCCCAAAACACGCTGTGGTATTGCAAATTAGGGGTCTCTGCAGAGGCTCCTAAAGTACTGCTGGAAAATGTCACCTGCAAGGATATAATATCATTCATCACCGAAATGAATGTGTCTTCTGAGGTGTAAACTAGCAGCTCTTGTAAGAGTAACATGAAAACAACTGCTTAAAGAAGTAGGATGCCATTTCTCTCAGAGCCATGTACTTTTTTAGGTGGCCAGATCTGATTTGTTCTATTAGAAAATGGCATTTGTATGGCATTACATCAGCCATGTTATGAATGTACCAGTCATTTTATTCAATAAAATATGGTTGTAATCTGGTACTTTCAAAAGAAACACTATACTACCTCCTAATTTTTTCTTTTAAATGTGGTAGGCTGTTTTTCAAAGAAAAGGGAAGTCAGACACTTCACTCACAATTTGATTTTTCAACTGACATTACACACTTGGTTCCATTTTGCTCCTTGGGAAAAAAAAAATCTCCTTCTTGGGCCAGCACCAACTAAATCAGCATGTTATCTGTCTGCCCTCCATATGCCAGCTAGCAAGAGCTGAGGCACAGTGAGGCAACCAAGTAGCAGTTTGCTAGAGATCTCCTCCAAGGAACAACAATGTTGTAATTTCTATCCATACAAGCACGTGCATCGTGCATATTGCACATGGGCACATCAAGTGATTTAAAGAGTGGCTTGGTTTTCAAAAATAACATATTATTGCCTATTAATCACTGTCCTTGGAAGTCCTTTCATCAATTTACAGGCCCTCTTCTGCTGTGACTGCCAGCCATAATGATTTCACAAGCTGGGATGATGAAGACAAACATTAACTGTTGTTTACAACTACACTGGTCGTTGATTAAAAAAATAAATCCTCGTGGAGTCACAAGAACTCCGTCTGCAATCAGCCCGCTTATCCAGCGAGTAAGCCCCGTGGTGCCCTGGAAAAGTGCTTGCTCAGAGCTGGAAGCCAAAGTGGAAGCTGAGAAGCTGCAGCGTGTCCTCCTCGGGGCTGGCTGCCCGTGCCGGCGCCGGGCAGAGCCGTGCCCGCTGGATGCACCCCCGGCGGGTGGGATGCTGCCAGCAGGAGCCTCCTTCCACGGCTGGCACGCTGTGGCCACCACCATCCAATCTAGCTAATCACACCAGGGTGTAAATCCACGCCCTGTGCCTCAGACACCCCCTCGGGAAAAATCCAGGAAGGAGGGTTTTTCCACGTCTGACGTGCTGCAGCCCCTCGTGCAATATAATGTAAGCAATTAGAAAGAGGCTTGGGTGGAATGATCTCCATTTCGTGCCAACTAGGAACTAGATTCCTTAATGACATTTCTTCAGAGGAACTTTCATCATTTTCTTATGTCACCCAGTGCACGCCGAGGTAGGGTTTGGGGAGCTTTGTGACAGTTCTGTATAATTTAGACAGGATGTACTTAGTGGAGGAACTGCTTCCTTCCATGATTACTGAATCACACTGTATTTATACAGGGCTCTGCGAAATTTCAGCCAAAGCACTCAGGCACCCAAGCTGCACAGGGAGGATGCAGGCAGTACCTTCCTACCCAGAAAAGACTTCCTGAGGCTCTAGAGAGAGTTCTTACCTGTACACAGTATTTTCTCTGTGCAGGTCTTCCAAGCCACAAAGAATCTCTGCTGCATAAAACAAAGCTCTTTCCTCCTCAAAGCCTGGGTTTCCCATGTTGTAGATGTGAAACTTCAGGTCACCTCCGTTCATTATGGTCAGAACTAAACACAGGGCGTCCTTTGTTTCATAGGCATAGGCTAAATTGACCTAGAAAAACATTTGAGGCACAGTTGTGACAGTTCAGTTAGCTGCTAAGGAGGAGCTGGCTTTTCATTAAAGAATTTTTTTCTAGAAAAGTTAAAAAATGCATTGACTGAATTCGATATGGGACTTATCATAACGGCAAACACACAATTTAAAAGTGCAGAAAAATCAGATGTTAGGAGTCTGCAGATTAATTTGTTCAATCCAGCCTATTTATCACCAGAAACCCTCAAGGCTCAGATAGCCTCACAGGCTGGACAAGCATACTAATTCCAGGCAGATTTCTTGATGTAAGAGGAACCTTAGTAATGAAGGGAAACTACACCTCCTGCTGCCCTGTTTTGCATCTCAGTAGGTTCCCTGGAAGGCTCAAACAGACCAGTCCTGGAGGATCCAATGGACCATCACCGAGACATGAAGGTCAGTGTTATTCCTTCGAGGCTCTTGTGAGTGCCCCAGGAAAAATCAGGGAAGCCAAAAGCTAGCCATCACTTTTAAATACGTGCCATCATCTTGGCTTCTGCCAGTGGTAAGTAAACATCTTGTAAAGTAAATATCTATTGTATACACAGTTTCCTGAAATAAGTGTAAAGAACATGGCAGATGCTGGGATTACATTACACCTTTCTCTTTTTTCTTTTTTTTTTTTTTTAACTAAGGGAGGTTTCAAAAGAGGCACAAGAGCTGGTGTGACCCAGGAAAGCCCTACATCAGGCAGACCAGCTCCACTTCACTGCTTAGATGCTTCTACAAGCCAGTCTCTTCTGATCTAATCAGGTTGAACCTGCTTTAGTCTCTCCCGAGCTCCTCTCTCCCAGACCCTGGGAATTCAGGTAATCACGCTGGATAAAAATAGCTCAGCCTGATGCAGCTGTGATGCAAGTCAAGGCTGCCAAACGCATCACGTTCCCATGGCAGGCACAGGCTCCTTGGTCGGCGCATTTCTCACGCACCAGAGACCAAAATGAGACCCGGCAAAGGTGCAGGGGGCAGGACTGAGGTGCAAAGCAAAGGGCACCTTTCCAGGAGCGGGAGATGGAGGAGGCACCGGATTCAGCCAGAGCAGTGCTCAGGAGGTGAGCAGGGAGCCGAGCTCGATACTCACTACAAACTGACTATTGACTTTTTCTAAGATCTGCTTCTCGTTTAGCGCCATGGATTCGCCTTTCCTCTTCTTGATCCTCTTCTTCTCTAACCTCTTGCAGGCGTACATCTTCCCCGTCGCCCGCACTTGGCAGGCGCAGACCTGCGAATTAGAGAGAACAATTGCTGGGTAATTCGAAGCAAACGCTGTGTCTGGGCTGCACTTTGCTCCTCACAATCTCTTCTGATTTAGTCCTTTTAAGGCGAGAGACCGAGGCTTAGCGAATAAGGCTTAGGCGGGGGCAGCAGGGGGAACCGACTACTGTTTCCAAACCTGCTGTGTAATATTGGTTTAATTATTTCACTTTCCTCCGCCTGCTTCCTTATCCCACCTCCTTTTGTCTGTGCAGATCGTGATCTGCTCAGCCACAGCCCGCCTGCACCTCCCCTGCCTCTCCAGCGACCTCCAGCCACCAGTTAAAACACAATTAAGGGTGTGACCCTAATTCAAATGTGAGTGTAACATCCAAACACAAAACATCCCTCAGAAGTGTTCTTTTGAGATTACAGTGTCCCGAGGGGTTAAGTAAAACTGTCAGCAATCAATGAAAATCAGCCTCTGTCGCATCAGGCTCCTGTACCTGCAGCGCCTAAAAAGTAAGAAACACTCTTTAACAGAAAGTTTCAGAATCACTCACCTCCCCAAAGCCGCCCTTCCCCAGTACCCTGTACTGCCGAAACGTGTTTTTCGTTACTGGTTGCCTGGAAGAAAAGGAAATAAATAAATAAATAAATAAATAAATAAAAGGCACGCTACATTTAATGCACTCTCTGTGATTTATTTATTTCAGAGCATACTTTTGAAAAGCAAAATAGATAGATATTACATAATCATATTATCTCAGGGTAATCATATAATATAATATATAATTATGTAATTACATTACTTCAATACTATGTATGGCTTGAACTTTTCAATTCCAACATATTAAGCTGTAATAAAATACAACACATTAGTGAGTCATCAGGATAATTTCTGCTAGCATCTTAAGACCAAGGAGGGTTCTGAATCTCCATTATACAGCTTTGGCTTTTGTTAAGCAAAGAGGAGGCCTGAAAGCTTCCAACAAGATATTAATTCCCATGATATATAGGATGGTGTAACACATGGCTTTGTTTGGTGTGCAAGATGAGAAAAAGAGATCCAAAATTCAATCCACTAGAAAATAAAACATGAAACTGATGTGAACCAAGGAAAGAAACAATCCTGGGAACAGGAGAGGTGGATTTAGGTGGGAGAAGAGGAAGCCAAGCTCCAAGCCAGCCCGTCCCCCCTGGGCTACCTGCCTCCTGGGGGAGTATCACGGCAAGAAGGGAGCAAAAACCAAATTAAGGGTTAAATAAGTCTGTCTCTGAGGGCAGAGTGCTCCCTAACAACCACGAGACATGATCTCTGTGCAATCTCACAGGCTCCCCACAAAATCTGCTCCACCAGAATGGCTCCAGATCCACATTAAACTTTTACTTTGCTCATGCAGAAGTTTTATAACACAACAGAGAAGAATTCTAGATTCGTAGAGATCCGATTTTGTATCCACCACTCCATCTCCAAAGTTTTACAGCTATCTTAGCTGTGGAAATGGATATTCCTCCCATCCTTGTTCCCCTCTGGCAGGTGGCCAGCCTGCAGAGGGAGCACAGTAATGTGGCTGTTCCCACCACAGGGATGATGAGGTTGATGACAATGAGGAATAAATGTTAAAGTGAATAGTTTCATTAATGTCCATTATTGTTTTTCGAAGTGGAAGAAGAAAAATAACGGAGAAGGTCAAAGCTGGAAGAGGAATAGATGCTATTTTCAGGCTTCTGCGAGGCTGCTGCAAATGCTGTTGGGGTTAAAAGTAACAATTAGCAGTGATAACTACATGTTCAGCAATGTCCCTGGAATAAATGGACTGTGTGACTGCTCGGTTGGAGCCAGCAGGCTGTCAGAAGGAGCTGGTGATCACTCCATGCTGCTAACATCTCTGTGCTAACCCAGCTTCTTAAGCCAGGCATATCCAATGGCTTGTCCTAGTTGTTGGGGGAATGGGAAAAAAAAAAATCCTCAAAGCATTTCAGAAAATTCCTTATCCCAGAGGTGAAAACAGGTAGGAAATAGCCCGGCCAGAAATGAATCTTCCGATGGGTTTTTTTTAATTGAAATGGAAGAGTAAATGCTGGGCTCTGCGAAGATGGCACGTGGAGCATGTCTTGGCACAAAACGGTCCCTCTGCCCACCCCTCCTGTGCAGCAGCTCTGCAGCTTTCCAGGGAGAGGAACTGGCCCAGCTCCTTTGATCTCCGAGGCCTCCCGCTGACACACACCGCTCGTGGCTCCGGCCCTAACTCATCCGCCCTAATTAATCCCATTTGTGGAAACTGGGTCTCCTCTCAGCTCAAGGTCACTGTTACCCAGCAGTGAACGTCTGCTACAGCCCTCCCTGACAGGGAAAAGGCAGGACCCCCTTTCCTTGCAAATTAATACCCACTAAGGCTGCTCGGTTATTAAACGTGCTCAGAAATGTCGAGCAAATACATATGGTTTGAGGACCTTCTCTGTTTAGAGTGATTTCATAACAGGGACAACTGGTGCAGAGAAAAGTCACCATATTCAGAAAAGACAACTGAAGTTGCTGAATGTACATTAATCATACCTAGTACACCTCATGTACCTAATACCATTAAAGGGCCAAACACTCGAGCTGTAGAAGCAAACATATCAGATTTTTGAGCATGTTCTATGTATTTTGCATGGAAAGTAAAAATAAACATTTTTATTTATTTTCATTAAAAAAAAAAAAATCTTGTGACAACTTACCTTTCCAACCACTTCCACTGAAGAAACCTGTCGAAGTACATGCTGCTTAGGTATTCTTGGAATGGTTCCCCACTGAGGTGGTCAAGGACAGATCTATCTCAGATGAAAAGGATATATAAGCATTTTATAATTCTGAACTTGGAGGCAAAAGAGAAACAAAACAAGAGGAAAAAAAAAATCCGGACTTCTCATCTGCTAGGATTATTTTACTTTCACTTTATTTTTCACGTTATTTTACTCCCAGTTTCAATCTGGGAACAAAGTGATATGTTTGATGTATTTCATAACAGGAGGCCTTATACAAGCTGAGCAGTAATATACACTGAAAATTAACAGGGCAACTCCCATTGGCTTCAATGGACTTTTCCAGAGGTTGTTAGCCACTAGACAACAAATGTCTTTACTTCTGTTACTCAATTAACACTACTCCCTCAGGAACTGAGCTCCTAAACCTTGGGGGATGTTTATATCCAGATAGAGAATTTCTAGCTGAAGCCCATCTCTCCAAAGAGGCTCCCTCAGAGGCACCATCTGAGTAAAAATATCAATTTCAGTTCCTGCTATACAGAAGAAGGAGTACATGTGACTGAAGTCAAAGGGGTTTTCCCAACAGTTATGTGCTTTGTAGAGCAAAACAGAAGAAAGAAAAGTCTGAACAGGGATATGGATTTGTTTCTGGACAAAGAACAAGCATTTTGGGGCTCATGCAGTGGGTGCAAAATCTTTTGCATAATGAAAAGGAATAAAGGAATAAAAAGGCCAGTCTGCAAATGTGAGAATAAAGTCTGTTGCTTGTGACAGGCAGCCAGAGACCATCAGGCATCCCATAAGAGAGGCCAAGGGTTCAGAACTAAGCAAAGAGGGGCTGAGCTGAGCCAGCTGACTGAAATGAAGGTGGTTGCACTGTTTGCCAGGGGGCTGTTCACCTGCTGCTGTTGGTCCTTGCCTTGCTTACCCACCTCTGCCGGCAGCACTGGCAGGACAAAAGTTGGTTTGGGGTGAAAAATGCCCATTAAAACAGGAGTATTTCTGTCTTGGTGGATACAGACACTTTTGTGTCCACGTCTAAGGGTATACAGACACATTTCCAGATTTTGCTGGAAGGAGGAAATCCTCTCTGAAGGACTACTCTAGTTTGGGAATGGATAGTCTATGTCTTACCCTGAGGCGGTTCTAGACCTGAGCAGACAAGTCATCATGAATAATGTGTCTCCCCTGTTCCTGAACTACTATTTTTGGAATTTCTCAGCTCTTAATTTTTTTTTTTTTTTTTTAATTCTTGCACCCTTAGTTTGGAGCAGGCAGGTAATTGCACACACTCAACAAGTCAAATTTTTGTCTTCATTAGCTTTGACTGGACACAGATAATACAGTTCCCCTAATGGATTCAAACTTACAAAATAAAATAAAAAGTAAGTCTTAGATGTGCAGTTTTAAATGGAGGCAGGAGCAGACAGTCAAAATATTAAAGGTCAAAGCAGGAGTTAGAGTTACACATGAATTTTTCTTGCAGACTGATTTTTATTTATGAAGATGTGAACGACACTCATCCCTGTCCCTACTCCCACAGGACAGCAGGCTTCATATTTGTATGTATGCCTCCCTTTTTTGGTCTGAACTCTTTCAAAATTAACATTATTCAACACCAGCAAATACCAACAGCAAGTTTTTAAAACTTCCTTTTGACCTCATTTTAGTCCGTGTGAAATGACCAGCATATTTATTACCAAGGCTTCAAACCTGGCTCATTTATCTGCTTCAGAGATGAAGGAATGGCCGTGCGTGAATACGGGCCTGCATTAAGTGGTGTCCAATGCTCTGCATTAAGTGGTGTCCAATGCTCGCCTGTTCCATTCAGTTAATTAAAAGCCGCACGTATTTTAGAAGAACAATAGCGGCCTTTCAGCAGTTGTTTGCTTTTGAGTTCCCCCTCTTTGGCAACAACAGAGTGCATTTCAGAGGGAACTGTCAGCTTTCGAAGGGATTGGAGGACTGGAAGCAGGCATCAGGGGGGTTTGTGTGGAGCACAGCTCTGCCTTTGTCGCTGGGACTGGCACACACCAGTGGTATGAGCTGCAGAGCATCTCTACACGGCACCGGCCACGCTCTGAGAGAGGGCCAGAAATAACCCACAGCTCCTACCAACGCAAAGAATAACTGAAAACAGAAAAGGTCAATGAAATGAGTCAAAACAATGAATGACAGCGGAGCGAATGTTACAAATCCCCATTACATCATCCAGGGAAAACAAACCGCGCTCGGCCAGAAACCACATGGGCCGGCGTGTGATGATCCCTCCTTTTCATATTTTTGTTGGTTTATGATCTCCTGGCCAGCGTTTGCAAAGGCAGATCGCATACCTGGAGCTTTAGCACATAATGGCCCAAATCGCCTCCCCGCTGCAGGAACTGATAAGCCTTTTCCCAGACAAAGGGTGAAATAATGCCCGTTCGTTGGAACGCCAAGGGCAGACAGAAAGCATTAAAAAAGCCCCATTCTCCTGGTGAAGATTTTCTGGAAAAGCCATGCGGAGCAAGTCTGCACATTCCTCTGTCTAAATGGACCGTATAGCCACTTAATTTTTATTCACTTTGAAACAGAGATGTTTTCTTTGGATACATTATCATCGTAGCTCTTTTCACACAGCATGAAATCCATGGCTGGTTTACTTGGCTAGAACACTGTCAAATACCTGAAACAGTAAGGGCCTGTGTGTACTGTATATAATGGCATGGAAATATTTGTTATATTTTGTTCAGATGAAATGACTTCACTGCTTGTCAGCTATGCCTCCAGGATTAGGAGCAGAAGCCAAAGATACCTGCCTCAGGTTCGAACTGCAATGTTTCTCCCCACCTGACACGTTCCTCACGAGCTGCTGGCTGCAGCCCTGTGATCTTTGGGGATCGAGTTATACTTACTTTGTACAGTGGGAGAATAGCTCTTTGCAGGGGCTGTTTTCGAGTTTCTCCTCTGTCTGCTGGATAAGGTCTTGACTGACTTCGGCAACGTAGGCTGGAGACTGGAGAGAGAAGAGAGGGGCACGTTAAGTCAGTGATGAGGTGCAGATTCTCCTCTCTTAACGTGTAAAAGGCACATTCATTATTTATGCCCTGAGCCGCTTCCATTCCGATTCCAGCGGTTGTGTAAAAGCAAAGGAGCTTTACGTCAGAGAGCAGTAAAATAGGATACCGTGGCAACTCGCTCCACATTCCACCCTATCCTCACATTGCTTTTCTGCCTTCTCCTGTACCTTCACCTCCTTGCCCAGCCTCATGAATATGCAGGACACACTCCTTGCCAATTCTTTGAACTGCTCCCTTGCATCCCATGAAAAATGTGCTGGCCTGAACTGTGTACAGGCCATTCTATTAAACAAAAGAGAATTCGCCCAGTGTTTTCACTTCATGGGCGATTCATTGTGCTGTCTGAAAAATCCAGCAAAGCAAAACAAGAGCAGAGCACTGGTATATGTATGTGTGTGTGTGCACGCGTGTATATATATATATATAAAGACGTTCACAAAAGTGTCTGGATGAACACCTTGGTTCATCCTTAAAGGGAAAAAGAATAATTCAGCAGCTTTAAAATGATATTTTCAAACAGGAACTTTGCCAATCAAGCACATAAACTCTTTTCATCCTCTCCTCCCTTTGGAGACAATGTACATTCAGACCCTTCAGAAAGCCCTTGCAAAGAGAGGTCTCTTGCAGTATGCCTTGATGGTTAACCAGTTTAAGATGTTTGGGATTAATTATCTAAAAAGACAGTTTTTAGGCAGTCCACATTCTTACTCATTGAATGCACACTGTAATTGTATTAAAAAGTGTATATTTGTGTGTGTATGTGCACCTATTTATAGGCAATTCTCCCATTTACATGAAAGTCCCTTTATATAAACAATTTAATTCGGGTATTTACAATAAATCCAGCCATAGATGACAAAATCCTCTTTCCCTGCAGAAGCCTTAACACTCTGTAAGGTCCCCCATCCGTGGCCATGACCACCAGATGTGCTGAGTGGGTGGGTCACGGAGCATCATCACTCATTCCTGGCCAGATGTTCTCATTAACTCACCCTTAGTTGGAGCTGTCTTGGCAAGCACTGAAACGCAGTGCAGGCAGAGTTCAAAAACACTGGGAATAAGGACAGAGGAAGGGGCAGAGGTGGAGCCACAGAAAATCCCCAGCATGGGGAAAGCTGAATTAAGTCTTTTATCTTTTCCTTCCCGCTGCTGCTATGTGAATCTGATCCCGGTTGTGACATGAAAAAGTAAGTTTGTTCCACTTGAATGTTTTCAAATAGGAATGTGGTTTAGAGGACTGTCTGTGCATGCTGTGTAATGCAGCCTCACTGTTCAGCCTTGACAGACCATCTGCAGAACGTGCTGGGGATACCTTTGACCTCACCCAAATGTTTCCTCATTTCCTCAATATATTCCTCCATTTCCTCAGCAAAAGATATCTAGGGAACAACTATTTTTAATCACAGACAGAGTAGATTACTAATAATTAAGAAGTCTCATAGTTTCCTGAGAGGCAGCTAAGCCCCCATGTTATCATCTAGAAGTTGAGGAGACTGAGACAAAGCCAGATATTCTCAGCTTGATTGACCACTGAGGCTGACAGGAACTGAGAACTGTAGAACAAGTCTCAGTAAACCAGAAAACTTACAGAAATCCTTAACTACAGATGCCTATGATGAAATCTAAGTCCCAGTTTTAGTTCAAGAGAGTAAGTAGAGGCAAGAGTGAAGTAGTGAAAGAACTAGGAAAAAAACTCAGAAGTCCCATTTTCCAGTCCTAAAGCATTGAATCTGTTGGGAAAGAAGAAGGGAAACAGATTTTTAAAAAAAGCCTTTTAAAGCAATACTGAGATATAAACCAAAGCCTAATGATTAGCAGTATTTCAGGTGATTTTGGATAGAGATAGATGAATTAATACCTTTAATGTACAGTTTTTGTACTTAGTGGGTAACATTTGCAGCCCAAAGCTGGTATGTGCCTGAGTGAATCCAGTTCAAGATGAACATCTCTCTGATTTACATGGTCCTGAAACACCACTGACCTCCACAGTCTTTGTACTGCTGTGAATCAGGAATGTTGTCTGAGGTGAATGGAGCAGCACTTCAGTAAAACTGACACCTGTAACTAAAGTTACTAGTACCTAAATCTAGAACTTGTTCTACATTTATAGGTCAAAGCTGGAATCCAAAAGCTAAGTACTACACTGCATAATTAGTCATTTAGACCAAGTGATCTGATTCTTACTCATACCAGGCAACTCCATGTCCCTATGGGAATTCATTTCCCAATGGAAGGTAAGCTGCCTTGAGGTTAGTGTTGAAGATCATGCCCAGGATGCATTACTAGAGTACTAAATCCATCAAACTTCCTCTGAGATCAAAGTACATTTAAAAAAAAAATTATAAGCATCAGCTAACTCTTATTCATAATAAGAAATTCAATTCTTGGAGGGAACAGGGGGAAGAATGAGAAAAAGAAATGGTCAGACAATGTGGGAATTATTTAAGAATGACACAAACTGTGATTCCTCTCTCCAAGTTTGTGGGAGATACATTCACCACTCGGGTTTTCAAAACCACTCATTGCTGACCTTTGAATCTTTGCTTCCTCTGAACAAATTGAGGGCCAGCTAACAATATCAAGGTAGGCAAAGACATAACACACTGACATCCTGGACATGGACTAAAGCCTTACAGTGTAGTGCAAACACTTTATTAGACCATTTCATTTTCTATAACCAAAAAAACCTCACTTTTTTTTTTTTTTTTCCCAGAGGCTGATAATTTCCAAAGGTTCTACAGGCCCAGCAAAACATTTTATGTCATTCTGCAGCCCTTCCTTGTGTTCAGGGCACCATGTGCATGAGAGAAGCATACCCAACCCTTTCTAACCCTGCACACGGTTCTAGGGAGCCTTTGTATGATCCTTCCTGAGATTTTCCTTGAGACTTCATAGTTCCCACTGCTCCCGTTAAAGAGCCATGGCTGCCATTTTCCCTGTGTGAGTACTGTGCATACCTACAGCCTTCAAATGTTCAAACAAAGCCAGAAACAATTACAAGCCAAAACCCAACCCACCAACTGACTTTTGCTCCCCTGGAGAACAATTAGGCAGCACAGGTTATGAGTGCAAGGAAGCATTTGGATCCCAAGAGTGAAAGTTTCCAAAGGTAACACTCTGGCCATTTACAGATGAAAAAGTTGCTTCTTCCCTGGAGAGGTGCAGAAGATTTCTGCAGCCCCAGTGAAATGGTTATTAACACCACTCTCCTGCTGCATTATGGGCAATGGCTGTAAAAGCAAATTCAGCTTTTACAGGGGAACAGAGACACCTTTTCCAACATATTAAATGTCCTGTGGCAGCTAGGAGAGCAATACACCACAATTAAGACCATTACATCTGAGCTTGTGACAAAGAATATTCTGCTAACTCTTCAGAAACACCTGCAGAAACCAGTTACGTTTTCTTGCATTCAAAACAAAACACTGGGGAGTTTTAACAAGTACAGTCCCATATTTCCTCTAATGGCTATTCTGTTTCCTGAAGGCAAGGAAAGCGATTCTTGAACTCCTTTACAATAACATAAATCAGAAATTATGCCAGTCAACTCAACTAAGTAACACCAGGGTAAAGCTGATGGAACCTAAACCAGATTAATGGCCAGACTCTGGCAGCACAAGAAGTGCTTAAATTGATCCTACAACAAAAATTTCTCTCATCACGTTATCTTCTTTGACCACACAATGTAATAAGAGTCCAGAAGTCCACAGTACTTTCACCAGGTTTTAACCAAAATCTCCTACCTCCTGTATCTTCCCCTTTATGACCAGAAACTGAAAACCTTTGTATAAATATTTTGCTGGCAAAGCAACATCTCGGTTTTATGATGCCTCTTGCTTAATTTTTAAGAAAAGAATGTAACTAGGAATTGCATTAGTGGTTATCTGCGAAAAAAAAGAAAAGGGTGCTCAGTTACTTCTGAGTTACTTCTGCACATACAGCACAAACCTGCATGAGCAGAGTTGGTTTATTGTGTGTAATGCTGCTGTTTCCATGGAAAAAGTGCCCAAATGACAAAGGGAACTGAGAGGGATGTGTTGAGACCCCAGCTAAAGACACTTACCCACCATTTCAGAAAGCTACAGAGAGCTGACAAGAGCACCAAGCGCCTGGAGAGTTGAGAACTATGTTCGGGGGAAAAAAAGCCCCAAAGGAAAGCATTGGGGAATTAAATCTGTTTAGTCTGGAAAAGCAAGGGTGAAACATGACACAGGTCTTTTAATATAAAAATGGTTTTAATAAAGAGGGCAGGGATCAATTATTCTGCATATTCTGCTCTACACTGGGGGAATGATGTGAAGAAATCCACTTAATTGGATATGAAGGCTTTTTTAGAAAAATTTTCACACAGGGAAGCAGAAGAACAGGCATATGGATACTGTGGAATCTGTTCTCAGAGGTCTGAAAGACCTCCAAGGGCACTCAGACATCTGTTGATCATCTAAGTGTATTTGATCTCTGTTCAGTGCAAGAGGCTCTTGAGCCCTCTCCCAGTCCTTTGTATAAATGATTTTGCAAAACACTGGGCTCCATAAAACACAGGCACATGGCATGGCCCTGAGAACAGCTGAGGAAGGGAGTTTGTGTGCTGAGTGCTCACCAAAGGAAACCTGAAGCTCTGAGCAAGGGAATAAGTGTCTTCTTTGCAAATGAACAGTCCTGCTTCAAGGACACTTGTCTCCATCGTCACTGTCTCCTACAGCAATAAATGAAAGAGCTTGCAGAACCCTGAACTTCTGATCAGAAAAAGGGAGAGCTTCGAGTTCAGTCAGACTGACTTTGCAAGAAAGAGAACGGGGTAATTCTTTATCCTTACCCAGATCCTTTCACCTAAGAACCAGCAAATATTAAAGCTTCACTGCCTGATTAAGTCTTCATGAGCTAGGTGGCAATCTCACAATATTTTACAGAGCAGCGAACGGGAGGTTAAGAGATG